CACTGAAAAGGCCAACTAATTTTCTCCTGGCATTTAGATAGGATGGCATAGACTGCTAGATGCCTACTCAAACATTCATTCTCTGCTTCTTTTTTTTGGAGAGCCCCAATTTTTAGCTAATAACATTGCCATTGTAAATCAAAGACCATTTCTCTGACTTTCTTAAAAGAGAGTATACAGAAATGTTACATGGGATATCCAGGAAAGCTTAAAGAGAGGTGACTGTTGGTCTTATGCTTTTCTGCTTTTCTGCTTTTGCAGCCTGAAAAGCTAGCTGGACAGAAGTTCAAACAACACTGAATTTTATTTCTCTTTTATCTAACAGTCCAGCAGTGCACAGACCTGGACAGATGCAGGGGCTCTCCTCAACATGAGGCTCCCAAGCTTGCTCTGCTTGTCTCCAATTTCCAGCCAGTAGGCAGAAATACAGAAAGAAATTAAATTCTATTTTTTAAGCCACTGCATATATATATATCCCCTTGTTAAGAAGCTTAGCTCATTCTCTACTGATGTTAGTCTTCAAAGGACTGCGTGGAGCAGTTACCATATCAGCAGGGTAACTGCTGATATGAAACTCCAGCACAGAACTCTTCTGTAAAAATGAAATTGACTATCTTTTCTTTAAATCATTATGTTCTGAGGTCTCTAGCCTATTCTAAATAATGTATCTAGCAACTAGATCAGGCACATCTATCTTGCACCAGCAGGAAGAAGGCTATGAAATCTGAACAGACTTCTACAAGAACATATTTCTTAACACTTGCAAAAAGTAGAGAATAATGATTAAAGGACAATAGACAAAGAATTGCACACAGAAAATGGAACAAGTTCTAACCAAGAATGTATTCCATTCCCAGGGCAAGGAGTCTGTTTATCTGCCCATTAGAATTTCGCCATTATTATAAACCATTGAGTCCTGTACCTTTCCCATTTCCCAATTTTCCACTTCTGAAAGAGAGATTTTATTGCAGCTATACAATTCTACAGCATCATTACGTATTTGATGTGGGTGTGGGAGGCAAGAGCCTCCCTGTCACTTGATGGAGTGGACAGCACATTACCCAACAATCCTGGACTTGGGGATGGATGCAGCACCCAGACAGGACTTTGGGTTGTTAGTACGTGGTGACTATGCTCCACTGGTGAGAAAAAAGATGAGTCTGGCTACATGGAGGGCCAAGAGAGTGGACTGTGATGGATCACTATTTTCTCCAGTATCCATTCTCCCCTTCCTTTCAAAAATAGAATCACCAAGTACATGGCCAAGAGCTACAGACCAGAATTCCCCAGCCTCACTGGTCTGTTCCTCCAACCAAGTCCGGGCCAACAGAATGTAAGCAAATGTGAGGTATGTACCTCCTGTGTTGCCTCTATAAAACTGAAGCATTGGCTAGGCATGATGGCTCACACCTGTAATCCCAGCACTTTGAAAGGCTAAGGCAGGTGGATCACCTGATGTCAGGAGTTCAAGACCAGCCTGACCAACATGGCAAAACCCCGTCTCTACTAAAAATACAAAATTAGCTGGGCGTGGTGGCAGGCACCTGTAGTCCCAGCTACTTGGGAGGCTGAGGCAGGAGAATGGCTTGAACCCAGGAGGTGGAGGTTGCAGTGAGCCGAGATTGTGCCATTGCATACCAGCCCATCAGCCTGGGCAACAAGAACAAAATTCCATCTCAAAAAAAAAAAAAGAAGTGTTGTCCCCAGGACATTCTCATTCCTCCTTCCCAGCTCCTGGAAAATGGCAGCTGCTGGATATGGGGATTTAAAAAAGCTGGAGATGTAGGCTGAGCACAAACTAGGAAAGCCTTAAATAAATTGAAATTTTAATTTACAACCAATAGTTCAGGTACACAGTTTGGTACCAAACTGTAAAGAAATGAAGAACAATACGGTAATGTATTAACTCTGTAATCTGTCTCTGTTCATTCCATTTTAAAATTCTGAGATAATTTCTCTTTTTGTTATGAACATAGCCTTTCTTTTGTAAAATGATGGTAATAACAGGTCATAGATTATTTCTGATGTTCTTGCTTTACAAAATAAGTGTCAGCATCCCAATTTTTAAAAAATGATATTAATCAAATGAAATTCAAAAATTCGGGGACTGCCACAATAGGATACAGTGACAAGGAAGGCTTTGGGTACAGAACTTACAAGATCAAATGTACTCTCAAGGAAGTAAACTAAAATGTCAGTCTAGTTAGTTATGAATTCTCCTATCCATAATCCTGTCAGAAAATGTTAGGAGAGCAGTGCTAGCAGACAAGACTATAGAAACTATTTACTAAGATAGGAACAGCAAAGTACCATTAAAGAGAAATTCCTGCTTTCATGTGACTGTCTTCACTATTATTTTCAAATCTGTTTACAACATATTTTTAAAGAAATTCCTGCTTTCATGTGACTGTCTTACCTATTATTTTCAAGTCTATTTAAACATAATTATATCTGAATATTAATTACCTCTGTAATTAATATTTGTTCTGAGAACCACACAAGGAATGTGATTTTACTATTATTCTTAGTCAATTGACAAGCATTCATTGAGCCAGGAATTTGGGGAATGAAGAAAGATACAAAGATAAAAAACACACAGACCCTGCCTTCAAGAATCTCCAGGGCCGGGCGCGGTGGCTAACGCCTGTAATCCCAGCACTTTGGGAGGCCGAGGCGGGTGGATCACGAGGTCAAGAGATCGAGACCATCCTAGTCAACATGGTGAAACCCCGTCTCTACTAAAAATACAAAACATTAGCTGGGCATGATGGCGCGCACCTGTAATCCCAGCTACTCAGGAGGCTGAGGCAGGAGAATTGCCTGAACGCAGGAGGCGGAGGTTGCAGTGAGCCGAGATCTCGCCATTGCACTCCAGCCTGGG